TGGCTCATCAGAAGCCAGGTAGGATAGAAAACCTACTGGATGGTAGCTCTCCAGGACCGGAGTTGGAGAGCCCTGGTGTAACCCCATCCTTTTATCTTCCAACCACTAATCTAGTATGAGATGGTGCCTGGCACCCATCCCAGTAAGCATGAGGCACAGTGAAGGGGATACCTTGACGGGAATGCCAGTCCATTACAATGGGAACTTAGTTCACCTTTCCAGTTCAGCTAGGCAGATGTTTGTGGATTTCAGGGGGGATTCTAAAACCTGCACACCTCACACACAGCAGGAGTGGGATTTAAACCCTCAGTCCTGAAGATCAAGCATCAGTGCTTCCCACCGCGTCCTTTGAAATAATGTACGATCTTGTGATATGGCAACTCTCTCCCTGTACATCAGTCTAAACTGACTTTGACATGCTTTGGCGGTGAAGGTTATCTGTACCTGGCCATTGAGTACGCTCCTCACGGAAACCTGCTGGACTTCCTGCGGAAAAGCCGGGTGTTGGAGACAGACCCGGCCTTCGCCATCGCCAACAGTACCGCCTCCACCCTGTCCTCGCAGCAGCTGCTGCACTTTGCTGCGGACGTGGCGCGAGGCATGGACTACCTGAGCCAAAAGCAGGTGAGCGTGGCGGTCACCCAGGGCACTGCGTCACTGTCTCTCACACTGCCTCATATGCTAATGCGCTTAGAAACTGCACTGCATGTTCATGCCCGTCATTCTGCAGCAACCTGCCAATTGGACCCTGATGTTTATGCAGGTCCGTTTTTAGTTTATCCACAGAGATCTCGCAGCCAGAAACATCCTAATGGGGGAAAATTTTGTGGCAAAGATAGCAGACTTTGGACTCTCCAGAGGTCAGGAGGTGTATGTGAAGAAGACCATGGTACGGCCGGCACTGCAGATTCACATCCAAAAACCAGCCTCGGGGGACGGGGTTAGATTCTCCGGCCTTCTGCTGGTTCTGCACGTTCATGGTTTCCAGTGCTTTGAACTGGTTTTCCTCATTCCTGTTGGGCGTTTCCCACAGGGGCGCTTGCCTGTGAGGTGGATGGCGATCGAGTCCTTAAACTACAGCGTCTACACCACAAACAGCGACGTGTGAGCATGTGCAGCTGGCCGCCGACCCCCCCCCCCCCAAGCCGGACTCGGCTCACGCCGGTCTCCCTTTCATTCACCCACAGGTGGTCCTACGGCGTGTTCCTCTGGGAGGTTGTCAGCTTAGGTCTGTAGCGGCTTCGCTTACGCACCGTTCGCTGATTATGTTGTGATGTGGGTGGGGGTTCTCAGACTGCTTGCCGCCTCACCAGGAGGGACGCCGTACTGTGGGATGAGCTGCGCCGAGCTGTACGAGAAGCTGCCCCAAGGTTACAGGCTGGAGAAACCCCTCAACTGCGATGACGAAGTGTAAGGCCACCGTCACATGCACTGGATACGGTGTCACTGCACAGAGATTCAGAAAAGCACTTCAAATAGTGACGTTTTACAGTGAAGGCCGGGCCTGTAGTCATGTATTAAACTCACGGGTTTGAATCCCCTGCACACGTAGCCAAATCTACAGAGGGAGACCAAACCAATCAACAGCTATGGGCCTGGTAAAGGCGTGCAGGCTTCTGCTATGCATTGAGTAGATGCTGATTTATGAGGTGAGTGTGATACTGTTTAATAAGAGTGAACCCCCCGTCTTCCGGCTCAGATATGACCTAATGAGGCAGTGCTGGAGAGAGAAACCTTACGAGAGACCCTCCTTTGCCCAGATTCTGGTGTCTCTGAGCAGGATGCTTGAAGAGAGAAAGATAAGTCTCTACAGATACCCAGAGACAATTGCTACCCCCCCCCCCATTATGAATATAATAATGCATTTGAGCAGCTCTGTCCAGTGTCCAGTAAGAAAGCTATGCATCTTCTTTTCAGACCTATGTGAACACCACCTTATATGAGAAGTTCACCTACGCCGGGATTGATTGTTCTGCAGAAGAAGCAGGGTGATACTTTCGATTTGTTCTTTAAAATGTCCATAAGATGTGTAACATACTGTATGCAGTTTTAGTAAAATATCCCTAAGACGTGTAACGCACTGTACCCTATTTCAGCAAAATATGCATAGACATAACATGCTGCACACAGTTTAAATAATCCCTATTTGGGAATTCATAGACTACTGTTTTACACACGTTGTGTATTTCAATTGATGGACTAACATGGAAGACACAATCAAGCTTTATTCCCTGATTTTATATGCGGTGCTCATGTTTGTTTTATGGCACGTTCCTGAGGGTGAAATGCTGGTCCTCTGATGGAATTGACAGTCACCCAGCATCACCTTGGTGTAAATAAAGTCTTTATCATGTGTGCTGTGTAAATGTGGTTCTTTCAAAACGATCCCCTCCAGTTTTATTTCTGTAGGAGTGATCGTTGTTTTATCAACATAGTGTGTAGTGTGGTCCAGCACCCTAGTGTTCTGTGACCTGTGGTGGATGCGTATTACCATCAAAGGCCTTTATCAAGGATGCCTTCAGCTGTGCGCCTTTTAGAAGTGTACTCCTGGCTTTTAGAATCTCTATGCAGTTGGCTTTTTTTTTCGTTATGTCTGAAACAGAAACCTAAAATGAGGAGTAGGGCCTCACGATTCTGGGTAAAATATGAATCACATTTTTTTTTTCACTTTTGAATCAAGATTGCGATTTTCACTCACAATTCTTGAGTAATATATTTCTTTCAGTATTGTTGTTTTACATCACACATTGTCTTTATGAAGATGGAACAAACATTACATAGAGATGCACGATATGTCAGTTAACAAATTGAAATTGCTGCCCGATATTTAAATGTTATCAATATTCAAAGTTAGCAGATAGCAAAGTTAGCTAAAGACACAACTATGATCAGTCATTTTCTGCAGTGAAGCACCAGGTATTATTAAATTTGGCCGACAGATCGATCTTTCATTTTTCACAGGATAAAACGACGGTGTAACGTGATCTGCGGCGGGGAGCTTGTCAGCTGGTTGCCTCAGTGCCTCTGCTTCACCATGACGCTAAAACTGACGACGAGAAAGTGACACAAGAGTTTTGATGCCACCAACTTCAGATAGATAGGCAAGAATATAGTTATTCAAAAAGTGGGGGGGGCAAAGAAACGATAATTCAATATACTGTTTTTTTCCAACAATGTACACAAATACACTAGTCACTGAGAAAGGTACAATTGGATTCTTTTACTAGAATTTTATCAAGCTAAATATATCCTACAAATTATTTCTAAACCCAGATGAGATGACTGAATTGTCATTAGGAATGTTTCATTTTGAAAATGGCTTCCCGCCAATTGCATAAGAAGCCCCCACGAGCAGGTTGGAAGCCTCTATGATGTCCTTCACCTTGGCTGGTTCTCCAGTCCCACAGAGGGCTCCCCTCGGAGACGTGTCTCTGCACACCTCATACACGCGGAAGGAGGCAAAGGCCGCCACCACTATACAGGAGCTGCCAAGGATCAACCACCAGCTGAAAAAGCCAAACCGAGGTTCCCTTAGTGATACAACAGAGCCCAAAGCACACCATAGCTACCAATGACAGGATCTGCACGTGCACAGGTGGGCTGGTCTTCTCGGTCATGGTGGAAACGCCGTGTCCAGGAAACCTTCACTGTCACTCTCAGCCCTGTCGTGTTTTTCCAAGGAAAGGAGAGGATGTCCTGTGGGCGTCAGTGGTGTGGGCCCCCTGCTTTGCTGCTCTGATCTAAGCACAATGCATTAAGAAGGGGGTCCCGTTAGAGAAATCCGCGGCAAGATTTCTGTGCGGTGATGAAATTCACCATGGTGGATTAAGACTGGCTTGCTGTTTTTTAACCTGCTGTCTCTTAATACCAGATCAAGTCCAATACGGTAATCCATTAAATGCATCTCATCATTTCGAAGCCTAGTACTAAATTGTACATATCATCTGAATAAAAGAAAGCAACATTTTTAGAACATTTACATAATTTAAGGGAATAGTTTTACAAAGGAAAATGTAATTTGCAGTTTTGCTGTCATGATAGCAGCATAAAGCACTGGACAGAATTAATCTAATAATAATAATAATAATAATAATAATAATAATAATAATATAAACACCTGAAAAGAGAAAAAAGCAAAACTGATAATTAACTAAAATGATGTTTTAGTAGTGACATGGTAATTAGGGTCACCTTCAGGACAATAAGACGATTAGAGATTTGAGCACAAAATCTATTTTATCAGATTATGGAGCAGTCAGATAATTAGAAACCTTAGGTGTTAGTGTAAGCCTTGCAGGATCTTGTAATTAGGGTTATGTATTTCTGTGAAAGCTTTCAGGTGATTTATCTTTCCATTTCAACTTTATTAATAACTTCTTTCTTGCATTTATTTTCTAGATATATTGTGACCATTTCACCAGTATCCCAAATATATATGAAATAGAAATTTAGATAGTTGCCTTAAATAAAAATACCACAAATATGCATAAAATTCTTGAGTAGTCGGTTGTATTGAATCATTTAGTGATTTGAATCATTTAGTGATTTGCCTTGTCAGTTTTAACCATGAGGGTGTGTCCATTGACACTGTGTAGGGAGGAATGTGGCACAGCTAGATATCCCTCTGAAGGTCGTGGGTTCAAATCTCATCCTCAGCAAAACAGTCACATCTCAGTTGAGCCCCTTAGATGGGCCCTTGACCCCTTGAAAAATGCTCGACGCATCGTAAAAATTGCTGACACAGCGCCCTGAGCTATAGCTTCACTCTCACCTCTTTAAGTATGTATATTTTAAAGCATTCCAATGTACCTGTACTTGCTTGTGCAAATGGCAAATAAAACATTTCATCACCCCTGATCCAAACAACTTCAAAAGCAACCTCTCCAGAAGTTGTAGCAATGGCTCCCTCTACAGGCCAATGTAGCGCATAACAACGTGCACGCGCTCGTGTGCTTGCTTTCCTAATGCATACCAGACCACTAAATAGCGCTGGCAGGCTGTTCTGCGAATCTAAGGCAGCTTTTATCTTGTTTCATTAGTAGTCACCACTGACTGTACTGCTGAAAGCTGGAACCCTGCGCCATGGACTGGGTTACAAACATCTTTATAAGGTATTTTCTAGGTTTTTTTCTATTAATTGAATCTTAATCTCACATACTGTATTACACTGCTGCCCACGTGCGCATTTAGTGGATACTATACACTAAACTATACTATAACGTAAGTCATAAAAATTAAAGTCACTGTATGAAAATCAAATATTTTACACCTGTACACAAGTCTTGATTTGCTCCGGGTTCGCTGAGGTTCCGTTTGCACTGACAGGTTGCAGTGGAAGGTATTTGTTATCCCACATGTCGTGGTACTGCCTCTAGCATTACTGCTAATTATAGTCTGCTGCCTCTGTCCCAGGCCAATTTCCATTTCCCCATATCTATTCCCTATAAACCAGAGGTCTCCTCTTTAAATCCTGCACCACTGTCGATGACCACTGGCCTGGGTCTTCACAATCTGACTGGCTCCTTACTTCATTTGTTATATAAGCTATTATATTTGCTTTGTATTAACCGATTAATAATCCCTTGACAAATGAACCAGTGTGTTATTCAAGAATGAGTCTGATAAAGTTTGCATGGATAATTCAGTCGACAAGAGACTATAAGACAACATGCCACAGACATGGCGTATAGCACTGACCCCCGTTCTTATCTCTTTTTGAGTTGTCAGTTCGGACTCAGGGCAGTCGGAGGAGCAGGGATACCCAGGCAGATCCACAGGGGCCAAAACATTATAGGGGCCCGGAAATAGAAGTTCAGGGGCCCGGCTGGCGATATCTACCGAGAAGGACATCCACAGGGAGCCCAGAATTTCTGGCTATGTCCCTTAAGTACATTAAGCAGAATATTGCTGAAAACATCACTATGACCGAAGGTTACAAACACTGTCAGTGCTGAGCGTGTTGGCATGTCGGAAATGTTTCCTTTAAAAAGAAAATTCACGTAAATCTAAATCAGTAAAAATACAAATCGCAATGATTACATTTTGGTGAACTAGATCAAACTAAATAGTGCTAAAAAAAGATTTTTTTCCGTTTATGTTTTGCATGTTTCCAATACGTTTAAGTTATTGTTTTATATTTTTCTATGTCCTTCCTGGGATTGCCGGCAGGATCACGATGATCTTTTACTGCGTAAATCGCACAGAAGACAGAGTAAAAGTAAGTTTCTAGATACGCCTCGGCGACTCATGACATCGCATGATGGCACTGTGTCCCCAGCTAAACGGCGCCGTGTGTCAGCCTGTCCTGGAAATGGACTCTTTACAATAACAGGTGTCAGCATAATACACGCTGGAAGGTGTGTGGCCGCTGGAAGGAGACGTCTTAAGGCAGGTTTCGCCGCGAAGTGTCAGCAGATGTATGACCGCCGGTAGAGGAACTAGGGGAAGTAAAGGGGCGGGTGTTATTAGTAAGCGGAGCAACAGAAAGCCCCGCAGCCCCGGCAGCAGCAGACAGCAGCGCGGCGAAGCAGGGGAGCGGACGGCTCTGGCTTAAGCACCCGAAACAGCGAAAAGATCGCCAATCCGACCGTTTCAACGTCCCTTTAGACTTCGCATCCCTTCGGTAAACTCATATTCGTGTGATTTGGATTAGGAGAATATTCGGGAAATTAGTCTTAAAAAGGATGGGTATTATTAGAAGCCCTAACACGGCTGTGTAGTCAGGGAATTACAGGACCTTTCACATGAAGAACATCCTGAAGACCAAGAAGTGAAGACCAAGTACCATCTGCTTCAGCAGAAAACTGCCTGCGTGCCGTCGGAGTTTAATGTAAGTATGTGTCAAGTGTGTATGTTTTGTTTTATACGTATCATCTTTAAAATGTAGCAGGACAGTGACACATAAAGCATTAATCACAGCAATCGCTAACACGTGGATTACTAACATTTTCACGGAGTATAATTTTTTAACTAGCTGTGTTTAACTGCTAGCTGTGTTAACAAATTGTGCGTGTTAACGCTGGTTCGGTTTTTTCTTTAGAAAGTACGCTGTTATTACCGTAGGCTTATAACTCAGCAAATTGGTAATGAAAAACTGGAATTGTGACTCATTGTTAGCGTAAAACGGAGGCGTGTGAGTAAATATTACAATAAAGGCGACTCTGGAGTCCTTTTGAAACTTGTTTCTTAATAAAGCGGACTGTCTTTGAAATTTGCGACTCATTTCAAAAGGGCGTCATTTTACCTGTTTATAATGTTTCTATTTTGCTCAGCGATATATACGTGTATGTGTGTGTTTCCACAGGGTAACGTACTGAACTCTCCTGGAATCTCATCGTCTGGATCCCTAAAATGCCTTTGTAATGACAAACCTATTTCTATATATGTCAGTCTTGTAAGGGAGATTACACTGCCAATGACAAATAAGATGGAAACTGCTTTTTACCATGATGACAATCCAAGCATGCCAAATTTTGGACAGGTGTCAGATTTTGAAGGGTACCAAAGCCAGAAGATGATGGGAAAAAAGAATATGATTGCTCAGAATTTTCCTGATATGCTAGGAAGCACGTCTGAACTGAAACTCATGCAGGGTCTGCCAGTAAACAGCAGTAACCTCAATGCTAACAGCACAGGAATTAATAACACAAGCAGCTCGATAATGGCTGCTTCTGACATGAACCTCCTGAAATTGCAATCCCCAGATTTAGAGCAGCTGATGATCCAGTCCAACCAAGGGCTGATTACAGCCAATCCAGGCCCCAACTGCGCAGGAAACACCTTTCTCTACAGGAACCAAGTCACCAATGAACAAGATGGCTTTACAGATGGATTTGACCGGGCTTTGGCTGATCTAAATAAGCAGAATCAGCTTGTTGGGGCGTCCATTTCTCCATCCTCTGCCATTCAGGGCTCCTACCACAGAAACATAATGTCCACAGGTGAATTGCTGACATACACTAATATGAACAGCTACAGTCCCACCCAGATCACAGGTTCTGCATCGTATCTTGGTAGCCAGCTGCCGTTCGCAACTGCCGGTCACTGCTCAGGTCACAGTGGACAAGGCCAAGGGTCCCACTCCCAGAGACGGGGCATGGATGCAGTGCAAATAGTTCCTGAGATGCCCCACCCACTGGTGGAATCTACCAGCTCCCCAAAATCGCTTTCGCCCATAGACATGGAGTCCCAGGAGCGGATCAAGGCAGAGAGAAAGAGGATCCGCAATCGCATAGCAGCCTCCAAATGCCGGAAGCGCAAACTGGAAAGGATCTCGCGCCTTGAAGAGAGAGTGAAGGCACTTAAGACCCAGAACTTTGACCTGGCGTCCGCCGCCAGTGTTCTGAGGGACCAGGTGGCACAGCTGAAAGAGAAAGTCACGAGTCACGTCAACAGTGGATGCCAGATCGTGGTGGCTAAGCGAGGAGGGACCTGAGCCCTTTGAATAACAGCATGGTGAATGTACTACATAACTAATGATTCTGAGTGTCTGGGAAGAGGCCTGCCTTGCCTGGCCTGCCTTGCCTGGCACATGCCTGAGGAGCGGAGTGTGTCACACATAATTTTTTAGGTGCTTTGGGCAGATACTGTCTCTCCACCACAGACAGTAACAAAAGGGAAAACATCCACTGCAGATTTTAAAAGTGAAACTGACACTGGAACATGGGCAGAACGACACAAAGATTCCAGGCAAAAGGAATCTCTGCACTCTGGACACTAACAACGCCCCAGAACGGAACGTACTGGAAAACTGCTTGGCTTCCTGGGAATTTTACTTCTGTCAGTACTTGTCTGATCTTGAGTAGTCAGAAGAAGGAGGAAAATTAGAGGAAAATGGTGAAGGTTTAATAAGTCTTGATAAGTTATAAGTATGTATACTTCAAGGCTTTACTTGAATATTAAAACAGATTTTTAAAACTGCGCAGACTTTTAGCACCTGACTTTGTGACAATTGGTGTTGTAGGTCCAATGTATTATGAACATTCAGTGTCCCAAATGTGCTGCAGTCTTCAAGTGTGACATGTTTTAAATTTAAGTAAAGAGTTGCTAGATTTACAGAGTAAACGACCTTAGCTGAGTGATGTGACTAAGGGCACAGGGGGGCCGTTTCCCAAAAGCATCTCACTATGAATTCCACTGAACTCCAGTGAAGTCACAGTCAGCAGACATCTTGTGAAATGGGAAATGCAACCCACTTGCTGGACTGAGTCACATCTCTTTCTGAAATGTTCTATTTGTTTGCTGTCTCTTTGGAGCGGATTATGCATGTGTGTGTCTGATTATATCAGGCTTATATATTTACTACATATCAGTGTCTAATTTAAATAACGTCTCTTAATGATGAATCATGTACGTATATGTACAGTGCAAAAGTACATATACATTTATCAGATCAATTAGAAATGCACTGATTTTTTTCTAGGAAAATACAGACTTAATATGATATTCAATAGTTTCAGTAAATCTTTAAATTATGTATTAATATATATATTTCTCTTGAACTGCATAAGGTATTAATTTTGAATGAAATACGTTTTCCCCAAATGGTTCCTAATGACTCTAAAGACAGTGTTTTGAAGCTGTGCTGACTCAAGCCACACGTTATGGAAGAGTATAGTTCAAAGTAACAGTTTTCAGTGCTAGACAGACAGGTGCAACTCAAATAGTTCAGACAAGGCCCGGTTTCCCGGAACCTTCTTAACGTCATTTCTGAGTTCTATGTTAAAAGATAGAACTTACGAACGACGTAGCATTAAGATGGTTTTAAGAAACTGGGCCCAGGTGGTTACTTATAATTGTGGACTGAGTTTTTATTCAAAATTATATTTTATAGCAGTTTAAGCAAAACTTCATGTTTGTGTTGTCTGTGCAAAATACATATTTAATGTATTTTTCAATATTTGTTTAAAGCATTGCACTGTTTTTTTTTTTTTTTTTTTTTACAAAAAAATGTCAAACACAGCATGAGAGAATTTTGCCCCCGTGTTTATCTGCATCCGTTGCAACAGTATATTGATCTATGAAATACAAGAAGCATTTTATTATTGTTCCTGTTAATGGTCAAGGGGGCTGATGTTTTCATTTATATTGTTTGAGTTTATCTGTAATTTACATTTGTAAATTCATGATTGTGTGATATTATAAAAAATGTGACCATTAAGGCTACATTTTCATCCATCCATCCATCCATCTATTCCTCCTGCTGTTTATCATGTACAGGATCAGTGGGGGGGGGGGCATCACAGACACTAGATAGGGAAATACCTCAGAGCTCACACACACACGCACAGACACCAACACATACCCCAACCCTGAAAGTATGGTCATTTTTTTGTTTAAAACCTTAATCTACCTACAAACGATAGATACCCTTTTCACCCTGTAACCTTGTACTGAATAAGCGGTTATGGAAGATGGATGAACGGATGGGATTCTCTCTAGTGTCTGTTTACCTGTTATAAGTACTATTTAAATATATTTTAACACAATGTAAATAATGCTGCTTAGCCGTAACTACAGTGAAGAATTTCCAGGTGTATTTCATTTTCTGTTTATGAATTACAAGCTTTCGAACAGCTAAGGTAGGCTGTAGGGAAATCATTTCAGAGAGGACTTGGTCCCGGTGGTGCTAACTATAATGGTAAAATCAGATTCTGCTGTGTGTTAGGGTTACAAATGCACAGGGCTTCACATCAGCTGGGTTGGGGGTTCGAATTTGTCCTGGCTTTTCAGCTAGAATGTGCATGCTCCTGGAATTCAAGTGAAATGGTGACTACAAGCGGCCCAACAATCAACAAATCAGGATGAAACTGGAAAGGCGATTGTTCATTGTTGGCTGTGCCCTGGTCACTGACCATGGACTTGTACACAGAGACACAGACTTTTTGTCTTTTCTCCTCTGAGAAACGGGTTTCCCCAATACCACTTCTTGCTTTACTGTAATTTGTGACTGAATGGCAATCATTTGGCATTCAACCTTGTTAAAAAGTTACTTTGAGGAATTTCCTCCAGACCAACAGCATTTTCGTCCACAGTGGTGTGATGACCTCATATGACCAATGGTAGTTAAAGATCAATGCTGAACTCCCCGACCTTTCGAAATCTTCCTTACAAAAGAGTCGTCATAGATGACGGGGAATATTGTTTAGAATCCATTTTAGTTTTGTATTCCTTGTTCATCACTGTACTCTATAAGATTATGTAAAAGTTATTTGGAACGGGAGTTACGTTTAATAATATCTATCAATATTAAAAATTCCTTATGGTATTCTCAGAAGTTACAAACTAAGTACTACGCAACCAGGAGCGAACAATAAAACATTCAGATCTAGTTAAATCCGGGAGAAACTGAGGTTGGAAATGCGTAATAATTGCCGGCCTTAATTATTTCATCTACACCCGGAATCAACTGAATAAACACGCAAGGACAGAGAAAACGAAACGAATACGACCTGTGGCTAACTGTATTGCAGAAGGGAAGGTTACCACTGACGCATAAACAGTGTAATTACACCCACAGTGAGTTTTGGTGCTTTCTGTAAAGAGCAGGACTTCCAGTAAAACATGGAATGAACCTGGGTCATTGCGAAAGTGAAAGTTCATTTAGCGCCAATCCTGATCGCGGAATTGCTGGGAATTCCGCTCTGAGACACCTACTAAAAGAGAGAGCACCTATTTAAATGACCAGACATCGTACGGGAAATCAACCGGATCTTCATTTTAGAGCCGTAATACTAATTTTACAGACACGCACGTATGACAATTCTCCTTTGAACGAATATTTAATCATTAATTTAATCAATAATTTTAACTTTACTCGGTTAACTTTAAGGCTGACACAAAATACCGAACGAAGAAAAATACAGATATCTTTCACTCAGCACATTCAATTTTTCATTACTCTGAGAGGGAGAAGTTGAAACTATACATAGCTGCATAATATATAATAAGGCGTATTTTGTTAGCCGTGCTGATGGAATGCGTATACGTACGCCTAGTATTTACGCTATTACGCAATCCAACATTTTACAAATAATACTCAGGGTGAATATAAATATATAACTATGTTTAACAACTCTGTCAGGTCAGATAATTGTTCACGAAACATTTGGACATATTTACATACATGCTTTCCAGTACATTAATCCATTCCTAATGATGAATGAGTTGTGTATTATAAATGAATAGTTTATATAATTACAAAAGAGATCGTTTGGCTAATGGATGTCTTGAAATTGCTGGAAGTAGCCTATGTATGTGCAGTGTGTCCGGCGAAGCACATCCCATCCACGGTGAACCCCAACCTCGCGTCCTATATGCTGCCTGCATGGGGCAGACTCCAAGCTTGACCCTGGCGAGGATAATAAGGCAGAAGAACCCTGGCAATTAGAAGATTAATGGACATGTCACAAACTGTCAGGCATGGGTGAAGGGAGGCAGGGACGCAGGTGCGGGTATATGGGATTTAATGAACATGGCACAGAATAGACACAAGGAGTGAAACTGCGAGCCTGACGAGGGGCACGGCAAAGGGGCAGACTAAGACAATAAATGGAACGATGCAGCAGATAATATAAATAGCATATAAAGAGGAAAACACAGATACCCAGCATTTCCAACTCTCACGGATCCGGCACGACACTCACTCTTACAGACTCTCACGCACACGCAAGAGATCTTACGGCAAATTTATATTATCCCAATATAAGCCTACGATTATCTGCATAAAATGGGTATTTTGCAAATCATACAGACTACATTTAAAAGGTAATAAAACTCTTAAATGAATGTGCAGGCTTAATTGTCTCGAATTGAAAATCACACGTCAGCCGAACGTCAATGGATGCAACACATGAGGAAATTCTGAGCAGAGTAATTAGCAATTAAGACACAAGAGGGAAACAGTATTGGCACTCTTGACAGTGTATTTCCAAAATGTATTATTTCACTCATTATTGGCTATCAAAATGTATTTGTTGCTATTCGAAATGAATGAATTTAGACACATAAATATCACACGGAGGTGTATTTGTTGATATGCTAATTCTTAAATATTCCGATTAGTATGGGGGTATATAGAAATAAATATATTCCATTTCAAGGAGGACGTGGTTGCATCAGCGGTTCAGTAGCATCACTGGTACAGGAATATCCTAGATTGCAACACGTACACTGTCTGAGACGCTTTGCACTTTGGAGGGACCATCCAGTGCAATCCTAAAATCCAACCCACACAATGAACATCCATTTCTTACTTCCGCATGCGTTATGTAGCAGACAAAACCTGCATGATTATTTGTATTTCTATGCGTATTATATTAAACTTAAAGTATTCATTCCTGTGCAGTCTCATTCGTACTTCTTTATAAATATGTGATTTTCATGTGACAGATTTTCACATATAATGTGTAAAAGTATATTGAAGTCTCACATTCTCCTTTCTCAATATGATTACATTAAAGACATCGAGAGTTTCATCTATCCTTTTAATGTTACGGGGTGTAGTCATGTGACTCTCGCGACCACATGCCTGGATGTCTGCGGTTACCGCGGTTACAACTCTAGTTCCTGTATGTTTTCTATACTACCTCCCTCCTTAGTAGGCGCCCTTCTAGTTTACTAGTGTAGAATATTTTGCCCAGAAAAGTTTTTGCGTCAGCGGAATAAGGAGGTTCTTCCTTGATGTTGACCAATAGAAATTATAAGTGCTTATCATGTGACCAAAAACGAAGCCGCAGCAGCCATCTTGGAAGCTGGATAAGAATCCCCCCGTGAAAAAAAACAGAAATACATAATAAACGGGACGAATTTGAATGTTCATAGTTTAGTTATTACTGCAGCCATGGTACAGTCTTGTTCGGCGTATGGCTGTAAAAACAGATACCATAAGGACAAAAATATTTCTTTTCACAAGTAAGTTGAACTGCAGCCGGACGTTCCGCCGTGCGTTTTCGAAAGGAAGGCAAAGCATACGACGTGGAGCCATGGAGCCGCCAGCATGTGTGCAGAGTGCGAAACCCTGGGCTGGGTGACGTGAGGTGACAGGGGCTTACAAGAGGCTGGGTGAGGTGACATTAGATTTACACGAAGGGACATGATGTGACACAAGGCGAAGTGAGGTGACATGCACTGAAATTAGGTCACATTTGAATTACATTACAAAGTATATGACGTTACATGCAGTGAAATGCGATAAGGTGAGAGAGTACGCCTCCAGCCTTCCCGGTCCGAGTTTGGCATCTCTGCCCTAAACTGCAATAGTGATTTAGAACAGAAAGAGGCACAGCTGGAATGAATGAAAGGTAAAGAGGACCTTTGGATTATGCACAGTTCAGAGTGGTCCCGAGTGGAAGTGGGTAGCTGGCCAAAATTACTGCGTCCACCTAGAATATTCACGAAATCCTTCCTGTTCCTTGTTAATGTTATCACCTGAAATAATAATACTTGTACTTTACACACTCCATGATGTTTTTCCTGTTAAATATGTATAATAATTTAATAATAAAAAAAGATAATTGACTGCATGCTGGCCTCCAGCCAACAGGGGGTGTGTAAGTATTTTGTTTTCTCTAAGTAATTATCAGTCTTCCGCATCATAGATTCCCACTTGCACGTCCAGATATATGTGGAAAATGGGTGGCGGCAATGAGAAGGAACAACTTCAAGCCGACAAAGTACAGCAACATCTGCTCACAGCATTTTACAAAAGACTGCTTCAAACAGGAGTGTAACAACCGGGTTCTGAAAGAGAATGCAGTTCCATCACTCTTCTGCTTCGGCAGGACACAGAAAAAGGTAAAGGACCTTGCACTTTGTGCCAGCGACCCCACAAATCGAATCTACACCTTTACAAAATTGGCTGTCATGTAGCAAATAAACGATGTCTAGAAATATGGAAGCACCGGACTTTACAGCAAATTGCTCATAGCGGAGTTACATGAACCCCAATTTTATCTGGTAGGAAGAAGCTCTGGATGGTCGAGACGTGCCACAGGTGTCGTTTCCCCTGGTGCTTCCCATCCCAGAGGCTGAGCAGTCCCAGGCCCAGCTGCAGGTGGTGGTGAACCCAGCGCTGCTCCCGAACACGTCAATCCCCTGCGACCACAACTACACTGTGGAGGACACCATGCAGCAGAAGAAACGAGTGGAGCAGTTAGAGGAGCAGCTGGACAAGCTACGCAAGAAGCTGAAGACCGTCCAGCAGAAGTGTCGCCGCCAGGAGAGGCAGCTGGAGAAGATGAAAGCCATGAAGGAGTCACAGGATGCCAGCAGGGAGCCCATAATGAGAGAGAGCTACGTTATCCTGCCCAAGGAGCTCTATGACGTCCTGAAAGGAACAGAGTCTGTGGGTGGCTTGTAGTGGCCTTGGCTGCTTGGGGAAACCCAGCAGAAAATGTCATGTATTTCCATTTTGGGTTCCTCTCATTGCACTCAACAAAGTGTCATCCAATCCCAGGCTTACTGATAATCCATCACTGGAAATTTTAAGCATCTAAAGAGACTAGGATGATTCAGTTTTGGTGTATTGGTAGTGGACTGCATTCAGAAAATTCTGAGGTCCCTTATAGACCAAAGCAAAGTGTGCACAGGTGGCGTGGATAGTGTCGCATGTGAATTTGAACCCTGTTCATGGTAGGCAGGAGTGTACAGGTCCACAGCGCTCAAACCAAGCCCTCAACTGAACTGCTTAAAGGATGGTCTCCCCTCGCTCTCAGTACAAAGGCTGTTAGAGGTTTAAAGATAAAAGGCTGCTCTCATTTAACCAGAGTTCATAACCACTGGTCTATGCAAATCCTGGGTCGAACTAATTAACTCTTAACCAAGAGTAGGAAATTATGGGGTTTGGGGTAAATTATCTAATTTAAGAAAGCATGCAAAATGATTGAAGTTGGAATAGCAGTATTATAAAATGTGTCTGTAAGAATTTGTTTACAGTAATATTGCACAAAGGATGTGAATTGCAGCAGTAGTGAGATATTCTACAGTACTAAGAACAGCAGAGTTTAATAACATTTTGTAAAATGCTGTGTACTACTGTGTAAATTCTGCTCGTTGAGTTGAGACAACTGTTTTGATCTCCTGAAGCACCGATGGTAGCACCAATAAACAGAATGGCGGTGAGTCTCGGCGTGTGATCGCTTTGTGGCAGAATGCAGCCTGATTTTAGCTACAGTATATTTACAACATTTTCCCATTCTTCAAACCGTGATTCTAATTTTACATGCAATGCATCAGATTTTTAAAGAAATAATCAGTGTAGCAGCCAACATTGTAGTAATTACCATTAATGTGATAACTGCTAATAACGTCATCATTTTTCTGTACTTAATGTAATAAAATTCAGTAATGAACTAGCTGGCAAATGATATAATACTTATTCTGAACAAATAATGTAATAACTTTTTGCCTATAATATATTAAGTTAATACATTATTGGTTGGTTATTATATTATTGATTTTTATTACATTTAGAATGGAAAATTTGATTATGTTACTAGCAGTTATTACATTAATGATAGTCCTTACATTATTGATGCTATGATCAGGTACTGAAACTACGTTCTGTATTTTGGAGAGCTTTGACATCTTTCATTTTTGGAGAATGATCACTTTGACACAGTCACTTAGCTATTCCATGTTAGAGTACTTCAGTGTTCTGATTTTTTAACCTGGCGCATTGTTAACGGAAGTGTTAAATCACAGAAATTGAGTAACAGAAAATGAATAGATCTACCACTAACCATAAAACCTGTACGAGCAAATTCTGAAACGCAAAAATGAGGCTGCTGTTTATGTTTGACTGAGAACTAGTGTCTGTGTGGGTGCAGATTTTAGCGGTAAACAGCCGCAGTGTGTGTGTGGAGCCAGTGTAGAGGCCTCTTACTGGCCAGTGGGTTTGCTGACGTCATTGTTAGGGCTGCTATGTCAATTTTACTGGTTATTTGAAACGAAAGGACAGCCAGCAGAGATGTGTGACCAGACTCGTTAGCATCAATAAGTTCTATGGAACGTGAACTTTGGTATTCAAGCATTTATTTTCAAGGGTTTTATTAGTCACATGCAAGATATACAGTCAGACCATAACCTACGGTGAAATGTAAGGTGGCCAAATCTGCCATGACAGTGAAAGCACAAAATCATAAAGACATTAAAAGTAATAATATAACAAATAGTCATAAAAGTGAAGTTATACTGTAAAACATAAATAGACCAGAGATGTGCAAAACAGATCAAATAAAGTGTGAAGTGCATTGATAAGGAAGCAATATCAATTAGAAGCATATTAATCTGTCTAACGGCTTGAGAGTAGAAGCTCCTTCTGAGCCTCTCACTTCTCACAGTGATTCCCAGACCTCAGCCTGGCAAAGAGGTAGTTGTTCGGGTGAGTCGTGTCCCTGCAGATTTTGGCTGCTCTGTTCCTGCCTGAGGTACATGTCCTGCAGGGAGGGCAGATCAGCCTTACAGGTCGTTTGACTGAAAGTACCGAACGTATTCTCACAAATCTCCACTATAGATTAAAAACAGTGTTTCATTTCCACGGTTGGGTAATTCAGGTCTAGAGAATAGAAATCCAGACCGGGATTTTGTTTCAACCAACCAATTGAGCATATAGAGTCTCAGTCACAGAGTACTCAACCTGGTTGGTTGAAACAATATCCCGGTCTTGGACATATCAACATCTAAAGAATCCCAAAAAAGGTAATTTTTGAAGGCTTGCCCTTCAGGCAGCAGAAGAGACGTGTTTTAAAGTCGTAGGAGAGAGCACATGACAGAAGCAATACGACAAACAGCCAGGGATGCCTGCCATGGGTGGCGTGTTCAGACCTCGCAGCTGGGAGGGACTGTGGACTGTCTGGCAGGGAGCCTGGGGGAGCAAGAACATGGACCGACTCTGAGTCCCCAAGAACCAGATTGGAAAACACTGAGTTATTTACACTAGGTTATGAATTGGTCACTATGAGAGTTTGTCCCTTCAAGGTCAGCGTGTGTGCCTACAGTACAAAGGATTCAGCTAAAATCATTACAGTTGTAACAGTTGTGGGTGAAAACACAGCTGTGCGGTAATTTTAAATCCTTTTTGAAATTTCTTTAATGCAGTTTGATATCAGTGTTGGATTCTGCGTCAGAGCAGCAGTGTACATCATGAAGTACGGCCACTGGATTTCTCAATGGATGTGTTATTGGCTTAATTTGCACTGTGTTCATTACATTCTGATTCGCTCTCTGCAGTGGGTAGAACATAGAGAATGCTGCAGCAATATTACAGAATGAGCAATTAAATATATGTATATATTTATATTCTCTATCTTCTTTCTCTCTGTCTTTCTTTCTCTCTGTCTCTCCCTCTAAGTGTAAAACACTTCAGGCCACAACTGCATACAAACAAGTAAGACCAGAAACGATGGCGCCATCTAAACTTGAAAGTGTTCATGCAAGTAGTGCATTAGAGGCCAACAGAGTCGTTGCAAACGCTTCTTTACTTTCAGTTGCTTTTTCCACGTAGGATCCACTGGAATGCGGGAATTTATCACTGAAATCAGCCCCTGGCCCAAAATGTGCAGGCTTGCCGTATTCCTCATGGAGAGAGTTGTCCTCTATGGAAGGCAAGACCACCTGACTCAACCTCTAGTTGTGGGTCACATACACACGTGTTTGAAACATTACATTTATATATTAATCTCACCATCACATGCTCAAGATGCTAAATTTAGTTGACGTAGAAATGTGTCAATGTAGCAGAAAAGCTACAACCAAATTTGTATGTATTGAACAGCGTTTTTGCTTATTATTTGAACAAATGTGTAATATGTTTTGACTGATGCAGAGAAGTTCTCCCAGAACGTCTCCCCCTGGAAGGCTGACTGTAAATGATGATTTTATGGTGAATGTCCTGGTGACGTGCAGTATGCTTCTCATAGGAAATCTTTGAACTTCTAATTACCAGGCAGCACATCATTCAAAACTGCAGTCAGGGGTAATGCTGAATTCCGATTAACACCAGAGGCAAGCTTTATTTTTGAGGTAGAGAAAGTTTCCAGTCGTGCCACATGGAAACTGGTCTGAAAATATGTCATTTCAGTCGATCAACTGTGGTCTAAATGATCAGGAATATTTTCATTTGTCTTTGTATAAACCCAGATGTCCCTATATATTTCAAAGAGCCATATTTGGACAGCTGAACCCCACTTCAGACCAACTCTGGTCTACTTTTGTTAGATGTTACCATCCTACTGATTCCTGCAGATTTCTCTCTATCTGTTGCCCTGGAAAGTTGATGCATGACCACAGGTTAAAGTCCCAGTGCTATTTTACCCTTGGGTACTAAGTAGAAACCATTCAGCTGCACGAATAGCTAATATCTTTAAGTCACCTTTAGATACAGGTGCTGCTAGAACCTAAAATAAATACATAATTTGAAACGGACGAATGGCGAACCCTTTGCGCCCCAAACAGGCAAACGGCTAATCAACCAGAGACAAAGGCCGACCTACGCTGAACTTGCTAATCAGTCTGGTCCGGTCTGATTGGGTGACCGCTGTTGTGATACTGGTGTTTGTTCACCACGGCAACAAGAAAGTCAGCAAAACCTGTGATGTTTTTGCCCCCTTTCATCCCCGTGTCATTGTGGGGTCCGCCCCCCAGTACAAAAAATATGCAGAAATTATTCGGAGTTACTGAATTACCCATATGTGAGTGTATCCTAAGATGGGTCAGCATATCATCCTAGGTTATTTCCCTGCCTTTTGTCCATAGGGTCCAGACCCCCACGACCTTGAATCGGACAATTGGTTTCAGAAAATGAGTGGATGGAGCTGGTGTGATGCTCAGCTTCTCATTTGTAACACACAATCTCAAAAGCCTCTATCGCAAAACAACTATTAATCTCCATAATAATTAGTACACGTCTGAGCCAGTAACACAGTGATTGATGGCCTCTTAATACTTCTGAAATTAGTTGAAAAATGTATTGCGGGAAGTAATGATTATATCAGCTTTTGGCTGTCTTTTGCCACATTATATTATGTATTATATTATTATATTTGTGGTGCCCCACAGCCCCGGATGCAGTTTGTGGACGTGTGCATGAAAAATCCTGCGTCACATCTGATCGTATCATCTACTGATTAACAGATTGCATGTTGGATGTTCATAACACAAGATCAACAGCTGTTTGCCGTCCTGATGAAACTTAATCGCGGGATCATCCACAAGATTGAGACATTAATATTCCAAATTGCACCCTACCTGTAAGTTTACATGTGAAGGTTTTGTTGTTGTCTGAGTGAAAAATAAAACATAGGCTATATGCCTTTGTGAAAATTAAATAAATGTGATGAACATTCAGTTGTAATGTAAAGACGCACTATGTTAGAAAATGTGCCTGATTAAAGTAATGAGGTGAAAAGCATAATGTTGTTTCATCCATTTCCAAGGATTTATGTATCTGATATTTTAGGGAAAAAGGTGTAAATTCACAAGTCAGACAGTTAAAAAAACTATTTTAAAAAATGAAAAGAAATTATGTATATGCAGTTTTTTTCCACAACCAATAATTTCTCATAGATCTGTATATTCAGACAACAGACCTTACATGTGAATTGTTAGCCTAGCTGTTTATATAGGATAGAAATGCAGCATATTGTCCATTTTGACCAAAAGTGTTGAAAGTACAGCAGCATGTATTAAATCAGATTAACAGAACATACAGAGTCTGAAACTGATCGCATGCTGTTTTATTTAACCTACTTAGCTGGAACTGTGTGCTGAGCCCTGGAGGATTTAACATTTCTAACTGTCAAAACGAATTAACCGTCACAAACGCAGGCTAAATCCCCGGCAGTTTTCCCTGAGTGACTCACACTCGTGTCACTCTCTGAAAAGTTTCTGTTGACATTTCAGACTCCTCAGCTTGAACAAAGTAACTAACTGGCGTCATTCCTCCCTGTGTGGCAGTGCAATGGGCTTAGATGCATAATGAAATATCTCAGCATTACCCAGAGCTGCCTTCCCCGCACAGGCTCTCTCCTTCAAAGGGAAGCCGCTGATATGATTAGCGAGGTCACAGGGCTTCTCACTGGGTCACTCTCACGCCGATAAAGTGTTTTGTTTTGCATAATCTAA